GACTTCCGGAAGGGACGCGTTCTGTCTAAATAGAATGCCAACGCCCTTCTGATGTCTAATGTGTGCCAACGGGCTTCCTCAGGTGTAGCATGTGGCTTGGGGTAGAACGTAGGAAAGACTATAGGCTCATTGACATGGAATGACGAATTAACCTTTGGCAGGAAAGCTGGATGACATCTAAGTGAGACTCCCTGCTGAGTGAATACTGTGTAGGGAGGATCAGCAGAGAGTGCCGCGAGCTCGGAGACTCGTCGAGCCGAGGCGATCGCAAGGAGAAAGGTAACTTTAATTGTGAGGGTCTGTAAATCACAAGTTGCAAGTGGTTCAAATGGTGGGTAGGTAAGAGTGTCCAGGACGAGGGTAAGGTCCCATGGTTGTGAGATAGGCCTATGCGGTGGGTAGAGATTCGAAATACCCTTGAGGAACTTCTTCGTAAGTGAATGAGAGAAGACAGAAAAACCCTTCTATTGGAGCATGAAAGGCCGAAATTGCTGCCAAGTGTACTCTTAGGGAAGCAGCAGCCAAGCCTTGCGAATGTAAATGAAGTACATAGTCTAGGATGCACTGAATATGAGCTTTGAGAGGATCGATGGTCTGTGATTGGCACCAAGCGAAGAAGCGACGCCACCTGTAGAGGTAAGATCGTTGAGTACTGTGGCCTCTGCTTTGTACTAGTACGTCCCTGACTGCTTGGGAGCAGGTTAGCTCTAGGCCTTGGAGCCAGTTAGGAGCCAAGCTGTCAGGTGCAAACGGTCGATGTCCGGATGGAAAAGATTGCCGTTTTGCTGCGAGATCAAGTTGCTGATCCATGGAAGTCGTTGAGGTCTGGATACCGACATCTGCATGAGTTGCATGAGCCATGTCTGGCGAGGCCAGAAGGGGGCCACCAGGATTACTGTCGCTGAGTCGGATAGTATCTTCTCTATTACTCGGGGTATCAGTGGAATTGGGGGAAAGGCGTATAAGAGATGGTATGTTCCCCACCTGAGCAGGAAGGCATCCCCCATCGATTGGGTGCGACATCTGCATGAGTTGCGTGATCCATGTCTGGCGAGGCCAGAAGGGGGCCACCAGGATTACTGTCGCTGAGTCGGATAGTATCTTCTCTATTACTCGGGGTTTCAGTGGAATTGGAGGAAAGGCGTATAAGAGATGGTATGTTCCCCACCTGAGCAGGAAGGCATCCCCCATCGATTGGGTGCCTATGCCCGCTCTTGAGCAGTAAGCGCGACATTTCTTGTTGTCGCGAGTAGCAAAGAGGTCGATCTCTGGGTAGCCCCATAGCTGGAACAGATTGCGGGCTACGGAGTGAAGGAGTTCCCATTCGTGTTGGGAATGGAAGGATCTGCTGAGTGCATCCGCAATTGTATTGGTTTTGCCGGGGAGGTAGGAGGCTGTGAGTGTGACATTGTGACGAATTGCCCAGTTCCAAAGGCGCACTGATTCCGCACACAGGGTCCTGGACCTGGCTCCGCCCTGTCGATTGATGTAGTATACAGTGCATATGTTGTCCGTAAGGACCTGTAGAGTGGTTCCCTGTATTTGGTGGACGAAGTGGCGACAAGCGTTGAAAACTGCCCTGAGTTCCAGGAAGTTTATGTGAAGTAGGGATTCTTGGTGTGACCATAATCCCTGGACCCGATAGTGCAGCATATGTGCCCCCCAGCCTACAAGGGACACATCCGTGGTAAGTTGAATTGACGGGGATTGGATCCGGAAGGGCACACCCGCCAGGGTATTGGCCGGTTGGAGCCACCATGCGAGCGATTCCTTGACAGGGGCAGGGACAGGTGTGAGACTGTTGATATTGGTAATGCCCGGTTTGTAGGCTACAAGGAGCCAATGTTGTAGACATCGCATGCGGAGGCGAGCATAGGTTATGACATACGTGGTGGAGGCCATGTGGCCTAACAGCTTCAGGCAGGTAAGGTATG